TAGCGCGATCAGATTTTTACATCAGTTACGTGGTGATCATAGTTCACACCAGTACCAGAAGCTTCTATTTTGGGGCCAAGCCCTACTAATACTACCCCGTACATGTTTCATACTACCCCATAATAATGGCAGATAAGACAGGATACCAGAAGCATTACCATTAGCGCGCAAAGCGTGCTCGGCTTAAAACTCATTTGAGATTGTGTTTCGCATGCCTTTCATATAAGATCCACAGCACCTTTTCCGAATAAGAATAAAAGCCGAGGCCCTTGGTCTAAAAGTGACCCACAATATTGACTCACTCTTCCAAACAAACTTTGACCACAAGCTAACGCAATGAAGAGCAAGGCTATATATTATGCGGTTGTGGTAAGATCTATGACGTGGTGAAATGCAGCATCTCTAGGCTCACAGCGTCTCCGCTACAACATAACGAAGATGTCGGTTCTTCTTGTGCGTAACAATGCTATTCATCGTGCCTGCCTCTGCCATCTTCACGATTTTGGCGTCGGTTCTTATAATGGAGAAAATTCAACGAAGGACTGCAAAAATCCGGACAAAGTTCAATCCTGCCGGGCATGATACGAATCCGCAGAACACTCGCCGCCTACTGCGCTCGCTTCGGGAAAACCTTCCCCCAATTGCGAGCCAAGAACCTCGGGCGCCCTCCAAATCCCCGCGCCCCTCCAGAAGCCCCAGGCACACACTTGCAGGCTGGTGCGGTGGACTCTGGAGGGGCGCGGGGAATCACATGAAACGAAACCAAAAGACAGAAAAACCAAGAGGAAGCAAGTCGCAGAAGCCGCTAAGCGGAGCACTTCCAGGACGAGGAGGCGACATTAGTGCCCGTTTTTGTGCAGTTCTTCGCTGACTTAGCGCCAATATAAATATATCAAGCATGAACATTAAACAAGAAAGGCGACGCATGAAGATTGCGCACCCACTCCGTGCTCTTGTGTTGGTCTCCTTTGTCATGGAAAAGTGGTTCTCCTGTTGCTGTTTTTACATGCAGTAAGTTTTGACTTTTGAAACGGCAGCAACAAAAAAAGTCTCCTCCTGCAAGCAAAACCACTTTTATGTGGAAACGAAACATCTAGAAGTCGTGCTTAGAAAAGGGAAAGGCTCCTTCGAAACCCGTAAAAATAACTTTACTGGGTATATCATCATCATCATAAAGAAACTCCAGTTGAGTTCTTGCATAATTCAGCGACAGCAAAAATCCGATTTGCTCACATCGTCTTCTACAAGTCAAACTCACAGGCTTGCAAAGTAGAGGTGTACTGTCTTGTTTCAGGACACTTCTCTTTCAGTGGAGTGGAACAGGAAGAAACCTAGTAAAGATTGACGTTTGTCGACTTCTTTTCATACGGCATCCTCTTCTTGCATTATCTTTGGTGCTTGCCATCTTCTCACGAATTCGTCCACACCAACTAGGACTCGCGTCTGTTT